TACATACTGTTTTCTCTCTCACCCTCTTATTGTGACTCTCTTATATATGTAGGGAATTCAGGATTCTATTTCAAGTCATCGCTATCATTATCTCATCTTGAAATTGAATATGTTAAATATCGAAGCGTTTAACAAGGCTAGAGGAAATTGCAAATATTCAAATTTGATGAGTGTGTTTCATCCATGGTGAAGGAACCAATTCTCATCATTCTACGAATTGGCGAATGCTCTGGTTGAGGTTGCATTGTGTTACATTGGTATTTTGAAAAAGTCAAAAAAATAAGAATTAGGTTCCCACACAGATAAAAAAGATTTCTTGATTCAATCTTGAATGGGTTCAACCAAACATTTTTTTGATTATTCCACAGAACACTCTCGACTTATTCATAAAAGAATATATTGATTCGAATGGATATTTCTTTACTATACAGTAAGTATTGGTCGAAGAAAGAATTAATTAGTTTGAAACAAGAAAATTCTCCTATTGTCAAGTTAATCGCCATCATATTTGGAGAATTATTTTCTTGAATCATCACATCATTACATTCATTAAAAGATAGTTATCTATTTATTATAACTTTGAATTAATTTGAATTGAAATCATGTTTCTATGTTTTAATACTACTTATAGGTATTTCCAATATTCCACAGATATATTACTATATTCAGCAAGGAAGTAGTTATTCTTTTGGATATTCAACAGATATACTTCAATGTTCGACGTGGCACATAGCCAGGAAAGTAGTTGTTTTCTGTTGAATATTCAGAATGATATCATTTGCATACATATTTTTATCTGAAGGAGAATACAAATTCTTAACTTCAGAAGATTTGGTTTCCAAACTCTTATCGTGTGTTTAATAGATATAATTCAATGTTCGTTGTGGGTGAAATATGTATTTTTCAGTTTAACAAATTGAAATGAAACTCTTTCATCACCCGAACTTTTTTGCTAAGTTGATTTGTTCGAGTTATTGAAAATAAAAATTATTTCTCTACACTTCATCATACCAAGTGGGTGAAAGTTCACAATAAATAATGACCAATTGTTTCCGTCGAAGCTGAGGGGTAGTCTCCATAGTAATTTAGTATGGTAACCAAAAAGAGGAATCAAATTTAAAAACACCCAGTCTACGCCACTGTATGCTTCCGATATAATTTCAAAAATAACAAAATAAGAATCATTGGTCCACTCTGTGATGAAATATTATGAAAAGGACTGTTTCGGTAGCCTACACCCATTCACATTTCATTTCGGTAAAAATCAATTGCAGAGCAAATACTTGCGAATATATGACCTTGAATAACGTATATGCAATTTGTGCGATGAAAACTGGCACAGTGAATTTTTTTGATCACGATCACAAGGGTAAGGTAGTTCAGTTGTGTCCCTAATCTGGCTAAAGTATCTCGATATCAATGTTGCATAGAAATTATAGTCAGGTCGTGTCTGTCTAATGAAAATATCGAAACAAGGGGAATAATAAAACAATCGCTGAAGCAAACTTCTTTGATTCTCGAATTCTTCTGAGGAGATGAAACTCATTTTTCAATAGAAAATTGTTCTTCCATGTGTTTTCCCTCACGAAACATACCTAACTTTGCCGGAAGCAATGCGATATTTTAATATTGAAATTCATGTACTTCGTGAAATGGGGTCAATATAGAAACAATTTTCGTCTTTTCAGACTGTGTTGCCGAGTTGATAAGGAAATAAATAATTGCAAAATGTTGTGATTTTCTTTTTCGCCTCCAGGCAGGGTGAATAGAAGCAGTGATTGTTTAAGCATGTTATTCGATTGTGAATAGAAACCAGTTTATCGAATAATCAGTTAGTGTCAAGTCAAAATCTGGAAAAAAAGAAATACCATGAAAAAGAGTCACAAGAATAGACACAAAAAAGTGATGTTAGGTACTTGTGTGAAGAATATATGTGATGAAAACTATAAGATATTTTTGAATCTGGAATTCGAGTATGTTGATGAGGCATATCAAGGTATATTTGGACAAAGCTTTATTATATATTGATTTTATTCTCACCTTAGCACATAAAGTTCAGTCAGCAATGCCCAGGTGTCATTATCATATTAATCATTATGTTCGACTAAAAAACCGGACAAAAAGTGTTGCCAATGGCAAATTAGTAAAATTCACTGAATTTATGTTATTACATATGTAATGTATAAACCACATAGGATTTTGAGTTCCTAAAATTGAATTTGAGAACCTTATTGTGATTAAAAAGGAATATTCTCAGATAAATTATGAACGTGAAAAAATGGATCATATACAGAGTGACCCATTTGAAAGCGGGCCACCCCTGTATCTCACGTAATCGTTGGGTAAGGATCATGAAATTTGCTGGAGCGAGATATATACCAAAAATGCACTCTATAACCAAGTGGGGTCATCTTCAGTGATATACACTGCTCGCCAACAGCCATGGAACCACCCCAATTTCCTGAAAAATGATATTAGGAGTCAAAATAGGTTGAAAGTCACTTCGGATTCGGAATCAGGACGCCCAATTCACTAACTATTCCTATTTTTCCTTGAAAATTTTCAGTTCTGAAACATTAAATTTTGTCGCACTTTTCATGGAAGCACCCCCGTATCTCACGTAATTATTGAGGTAGGGTTCTAAAATTTGCAGGAGGAACGGAAAGTCCAAAAATAAAGTCAATTACGTGAGATACGGGGGTGCTTTCGTGAAAAGTGCGACAAAATTTAATTTTTCAGAACTGAAAATGTTCAAGGAAAAATATGAAGAGTTAGTGAATTGGGCGTCCTGATTCCGAATCCGAAGTGATTTTCAACATATTTTGACTCCTAATATCATTTTCCGGAAATTGGAGTGGTTCCATGGCTGTTGGCGAGCAGTGTATATCACTGAAGATGACCCCACTTGGTCATAGAGTGCATTTTTGGTATATCTCTCGCTCCAGCAAATTTCATGATCCTTACCCAACGATTACGTGAGATACAGGGGTGGCCCGCTTTCAAATGGGTCACTCTGTATGAAGAAATACATTGAGAATACGTATTCTATATGTGATGAAAATATTAATTCTTTCTCGGTTGATTCAACACAAAACAACTACTTTCCTGACTATATGCCACTACGTTTATGGAATTATATCAATTGAACACACACGATAAGTATATGAAAACAAAATCTTCTGAGGTTGAGAATTTTTATTCTCCTTCAGACAAACATATGTATGCATATATCATTCTGAATATTCAACAGAAAACAACTAGGTACTTTCATGGCTATTTACCACGTCGAACATTGAAGTATATCTGTTGAACAGACATTGACATTCTCTCCCAAATCGGATAAATAACATTCTGTATTATGATATAAAAACATAACTCACCAAAATGTTCGGTATTGAAATGAAAATTGAGATGTATAGGAGTAGTATAATATTTGTACAAACCCTAATCTTGATCAGCTTGGAACTTTCAGAAAAATCATTATATCTCTCACAATCAGGTTATATGACTTTATTACAGTCCCCCGGAGTCCAGTAATTCTCACAGCTATTCTTCATGATATTCCACTTTCCACCAGGAAAGTAGTTGTTTTCTGTTGAATAAAACGCGAGAGAGAATTGATATTCCACATTGAGCATATACAGTGTGTCCACCTCAAGGACTTACCACCCCTGTAAAATCGTTATTATTCGACCAACTTCAAAAAACCTTTCTTTGTTGGATAGGTATTTGAAATGCCCATCCAACGAGAGAGTGATCTAATTCTTGGACTGTTATCGTGGCCAACTGCGACAAATTTCAATGACCCATATTCCAGGAAGTACTATTAGGGATTTTTTTCACGAAACTCGATGATGGATTCTGAATCAGTACCACTTGAAATATACCTGTACCGATTTTCATCATCATAAAACACAGGGTGTCCGAAAAAACGAATCATCATTTTCTTCAAAAAGGTGATCAACAAATGTAGTTCTGTGGTTTTTCTAGAAGGAAATAATCACAGATTATCATTGAGGATTATTTCAAATATACCTGTATCAATTTTCGTCATTTGAATATACAATGTGTCTGAGAAAAAAATTAAAAAGAATAGGTAAGCAATATTTTTCAACCTGATAATTCTTCACTCAGAACGAAAAGATGAATCAGGATCACTTGGAACATACCTGTACCGATTTTCATCATCATTGAACACAGGGTGTTCGAAAAATCAAATTAATATTTTTTTTGAGTTGATGAAAAAATATTGCCTACTTTTTCTTTTGAATGATGAAAATCGGTACAGATATGTTCTAAGTGGTCCTCAATAATAATGTGTCATGAATTCCTTTCAGAAATACCACAATACTACATTTTCTGATGACCTATAAAAAAAACATTATTCGTTTTTTCGGACACCCTGTGTTTTATGATGATAAGAATCAGTAAAGGTGTTTTCAAGTGATCGTGATTCAGAATCCATCATTGTTTTTTGTGAAAAAAAATCCCTAATAGTACTTTCTCAAATATGGGTCAATAAAGTTGGTCGCAGTTGGCCACGATTACAGTTCATGAGTAAAATCACTCTCTTGTTGGATGGCCATTCCAAATACCTATCCAACAAAAAAAAAGTTTTTTGAAATCGGTCAGATAATAACAATTTTACAGGGGTGGTAAGTCCTTAAGGTGGACACACTATATATCAATTGTTCCATGTTATCGATTCATCTGAGAATATTCCTTTTCAATACTTTCACCCAACAAGGGGTTGAAACTTGAACGATGGAAACTTGCTATTTTTATAGAACCTAAATCGCAGATTCGTGATTAGGTTTTCTCAATTCAGAATTTCTTTCCACGTCCTGTATGATGAATATCAATTCGTCATACATCCAGAAACAAACTTGTGATCGTTCTCAACAAACGCATACTTGTTTCTATTCGCCCCCTACCACGTTTTACGGTATAGCTTTTTCTCACTGGGGTCTGCGTGAAAGTAAAAAAAATATTTCGCCTACCTCTTGGTGGAATTTCAACTCCAACCGAACGGACAAAGCTTCCCCAAGAAGACTAAATCTCCGATAAAGTCCTCACGAACCCTTCTGATTCCATCCCCGAGGTATACCGTATACGCTAAAACCGGCGAGATCACTGAATTCGTAATGTTCGCGCTGAAACGCGCTGCAATCTCACATCACGTGATTCTGCGCCGAAACGACCACAGTTCCAGAGATTCATCCAAGATGTGTCTCCATCGAAAACTCGTTTTTCTTTCGTAAGAAGATAAGGAGCGATCGAGGCATTAGGGAGTTTACGCGGTTTCAGTGGGTTCGTGGGAGAGCGTGACAGGAGACATTTCAAGTCATGGAAACCATCCATCCTTCTCAAAGCAGTTCAGATGTTTTTGAAGAAAAACAAAATACACTAAGTCGGTCGACCACGAAGTTATATTACAAAATTGAATTTTGTGACTAGTTTCGGCTCAAACAGTCATCTTCAGACACAGAGTACCTGTAAAGATATTGAGTTTACAAGGATGATAAGATATTGAGAAGCAAACATACCTATAAGGCCACGTGGAAATCACAAAATAAAATTAAATTTAAAATCTAAAGATCAGTGATCATTTGGCCAGTCCGCTGAAGAAAAATTGAAATTTTTGAACCGACGGAACAGCCAAAAAATCCAAACAATCATTACGATCAAGATTGGCACAAACTTGAGAAAAAAGTAAATATTCACTCAAAGGAGTTTCATCATCAAATGACTATTTTTGTGAAAGACAAACGCCAAGGAGAAGGCGAAGCATCATGCATAGCAACAGACGTTGACAGAATAATAAGACAAATGACAGTGACAAATGATACAAAACCAAATGACATGTACAATATAAGAGTAAATGTTGAACATTCTGAGTTATGGTACGGTGGGAAATGCAAAGAAACGAAACTTTACGAATTTTTTCTTGAATCATTATATACAGGGTGGGTCACGGTAGATGGCACCTTAGACGTTTACGGAGAACGGGACATAAGATCATTCTGAAAATTTGGTTACTCAAGTAATTGCTCTTGATCTATCGATCTAAAATATTTTCAGCTCTGCGGCGTTGCCGCTTCTATCGAAAAGTAGCAACAACTTTGTTATTTTAAATGGAACACCCTGTATTTTATTGCATCTTCAGATTCTCTCTGAAGAGCTGATTTCATCGATATATCACACTTGGGGTCTAGAGGAAATGATTACAGAGATATAGGGTGTGAAAAATCGACATTTTTCAACTTTAGGAATTTTTTTGTCGAAACCATTCATTATTGGTCGAAACGGTTTACATGTCCCTATCTCAACTTTTGATTAACTATCTACTGATATTTAATTGGGACATATACCGGGTGATCAAGAATCTGAATTCTGCACCACCCTGTATTTGTTTCAATTAAATGTTAGTAGATAGTTGATCAAAAGTTGGGATAGGGACATGTGAGCCGTTTTGACCAATAATGAATAGTTTCGACAAAAAAAATTCCTAAAGTTGCAAAATGTCGATTTTTCAGACCCTATATCTCTGTAATCATTTCCGCTAGACCCCAAACGTGATACATCGATGAAATCAGCTCTTTAGAGAGAATCTGAAAATGCGATAAAATACAGGGTGTTCCATTCAAAATAACAAAGTTGTTGCTACTTTTCGATAGAAGCGGCAACGCCGCAGAGCTGAAAATATTTTAGATCGATAGATCAAGAGCAATTACTTGAGTAACCAAATTTTCAGAATGATCTTATGTCCCGTTCTCCGTAAACGTCTAAGGTGCCATCGACCGTGACCCACCCGGTATGTACAATGTTGAGATATTTATTGAAAATCAACACTAATTACTCAAGAAACGTTAAATGTGACATTGATGGTCCATCCATTAAGATTGTAAAAAACATGCGAGAATAGTTGATCTAAATAGAGAAGAAGATTTCTTTCATCTTAGAAAATGTGACTGCTGCTTTTTCGATCCTTTGCATTTCCTGAGAGCATCAACCACAGAAAGTGATATATTCTTTTACACCATCAGGAAGTGGAGACTCCAACAAACAAGAAGTCCATCAACTTATTTGAAAGAACACATATTTTGACGCAAGAATTTTCGATAGAAAAATAAAGGTGCTTTTTCGATATTAGGTCAAAATGGGGTGAAAAAAACAATATTTCAAATCGAAAAAGCTATAGTGTATTTGTGACATGAAGAGCTGAGTTCTCACTGAATTTCGTGAAAAAAATATTTTGTCTGTAAAAGTTATGGAATGGAAAAAACCAAGAACATGTTTCTTTGATATTTGATATTTTCGAAAGTAGTTGTTTTCTGTTGAATATTCAGAATGGGCATATATATTTTTATCTGAAGGAGAATACAAATTCTCTGCTGCAGAAGATTTTGTTTTTCAAATTCTTATCATGTGTTCAATAGATATAATTCAATGTTCGTCGTGGCATATAGCCTGGAAAGTAGTTGTTTCCTGTTGTTTATCTGAGAATATTCCTTCTCAAATCTTTCCTCTTTATGATGTCAGTATAGATACCGAAGGCGGACTCTTAGAAATGGCGAAGGATCTAAGAACTTCAAGCGAATTCACCAAAAAATGCTATCGGAAAGACGACAGAGAATTGATCTTCAATAGCTCACTCAATTCTTTCTGGGGCTAACATGAAGAAATAATAATTGATTCTGATACTCATGAAGATATTTCATATAGCACGAGTACTGGAAACTTCCGACTATGAATACCTGAATCAACTTAAATCCCCCTTTTTTACTCAGATAGGTGGTGGGTGCTCGTCAGGTTTCCCTTCTGGGACTTGACTTTTGGTTTTACAAGTGCGCGTTCTTATGGCACGGGGCCCTCCATTTTTAATGTAAACCCGTTTCTCCACATTTATTAACAGAACCACGATATTATGATGATAGACATTGGCATCCATTTTAAAAATAATATTTACCTCCATGTAAGTCTACTTTTGGTTTTTTATGATATGTATATTTTCACATGCCTTTCCTTGTAGTGACTTCTAAAAACGGCTGAAGATGGACTTTCATAAGTCCTAAACATGTCCCCTTGATTGATTTACATCAGTAATAAAGTAGTGGAGATGACTTTGAGCTTTCCTTTTTCCTTTTGTCAACTATAATATGTTGCTCACACAATGACAACTGGGGCCCGATTCTCGAATCTGTAGGAATTCGATCCTATAGGAGAATGATCCAATGCTTTCAGTTCTCATAGGAAATGATAATTTGTCATGACACCAATTCTGGGACCAGATGGAATCGATTTTCCCAGAGGATTGAAAAAGTGCCGTATGTCACAGATAGATTCTTGAACTTTTATGAATTCCCCAATGGAATAAGTGGAATTTATGTTGGTAACTGGTGGATGATTGAAATAAAATGTTGACATTCTGATTTTGAAAAATTTGAAGTTTATAATATAATATAATTTTGCGCCTGTGAGATTATTGTATTGTATATTCACTATATTTCCTCTGATCGGAATGGATATGGATACAAACAATAATAAAAAACCATTAGCAAAGAGCAGACAAGACTTTTAATAGAAGGCCTGAGGTCTGAGGACTTGAGGAAAGGAAAATTACACCACCAATTCACTTATAGGGATTCTCAAGTACCTATCAACTTTCTAGTAATGTCTTATGTTAGGACAAACAAAAAACTTTAATAAATTGTGCAGCAGACAAACACTCAAATGGTCCCTTCTACGCAGAAACCTTCTTCTTAGTCTTCTAGCAAGGATTTCAGCCCTTTCCAAATTTTGTAAAGCCTCTAGATGATTTATTTCATCTATGTTCCGATTTTCCACTAGGGTTCAGTTCCCATCACAAATGAGAATAACTTCGTATTTCATAAGTGTATCGTATGGGAAACATGTTGTTCCCATGAGTATTACTATGGGAAGCAGTTCTCCTGAAATGTGTAGGAATAGTTTCTCATACAAAGGGGTCAGGTAGCCGTGCGAACAGAGTGTCTATATTCTAATCCGCATTCGCTAGCCGGTCATGGGTTCGATTCCCATCGACAGCAGATATTTTTCTGGCCCGAGAAAGTGTTTGGGATCACACGTTAAAAGGTAAGGCTCCCGTCATTCCTTGCTCGCACAAGACTCTCGAAGGCTTCTGAGGGTTGCTCGTAAGGGGGCAACCGAATGACGGATAGAACAATTTTAGAACAATTTTAGAATAGTTCAAGATTACATCATCTCAAATTTCCATGGGAAATATCGAGTTTTTCCCATGGGAACGAATTCCAACGGATTCGAGAATCGGTCTCCTGGGAGAGATAAGATTAGTTATATTGGGATATTCCTATATCGCATTCTGCGAAGCAAATTTAGGATCAGAGTTCCAGCACAGCGATATGTTACCTCTGATGCCGCCATATATCAATATGTCGCCAGCGTACTTCAAAGTAGTAAAAACCATTCGTGGGATGGATTTCCGAGTTCAGTATTCCATGCAGGGAAAATATAGAGATGAATGATTCCGTGAGCGTGGTGTGGAAAAAAATTGAGGTCTTAGTCGATCTGTGTCGAACAAAGTGAAACGAGGCATTCCCCTGGTGGTCACCATTTTCCAATCGATTGGAGTTCACGAAATTGTTTTTCTACATACACTATCAAAAGTTCACCTTACAACTCCAGAAGTATTTTTCAAAAATATAATCTTCATACACTTTTTCATTGAGTGACTAGTTTATATATATTTCAAATAATTACATATGTTGAAGGAAATGAAAACGGTTTTGAAAAAATGAGGACTTGCACTCGTATGACACACGTATGGAAGTTAATATTTATCAGAGGTGTTCTCGACTTCAAATTCGCCAGAATTTTCCCAACTATATAGGAGTTAGGTTATACAATAAGTTTAACTTCAACTTCTGTAATTTAAAGTGTATTCTATCATTAATTTCAAAGTGTATTTATTACCAATGTTGTTAAATACTGTCTGAACATATCCTTACTGAAGACGGACAACATATGACAGAGTGGAAAAATATTAAAATCATTGGAAAAGGAGATAACAACCAGAAGAGAAAAATCAAAGAATCTGCTTGCAT